AGTGAGTGAGTGAGTGAGTGAGTGAGTGAGTGAGTGAGTGAGTGAGTGAGTGAGTAAGTAAGTAAGTAAGTAAGTAAGTACGGAAGTAAGTACGTAAGTAAGTACGTGAGTAAGTAAAGTTTTATTTATAAAGCGTCTTTCACAGAAATATATTCACAAGGTCCTGTACAGTCATTAACAGTATAAAAATGATGAAAAGAATAAAATGAACAGAAAAACATAATTACATATAAGCAACGAAAATTGAAACATCAAATCAGGAATTAATTTCTAAAATTGTAAATACTTATTTACTTATTTATAGCCCATTTGTATATACTTATTTTGGCTTGATAACATAAAATGAACATTTTTATTTTACAGTAGGCAGTATTTGGACAGCTAAAATATTAAATTGCTACTCTGTATTTCTGTATTGAGTTTAAACATATCAGGTAGCTACTTTAACTAAAAAGCGTGATGGTTCACAACTCTTTTTTTTTTACCAATGTTAGAAATGTATGCTAATTATTAGCTCGAATAAGCACGGTTTAGCGCAGTGTCAGACTTTATCATTATGATTTCATAAAAACAATCTTTGGAGCGCAACGATGGGCTAGTTTTGTTTGAAAAGCGAAATAAAAACATTATTAGTACACACATGGTCCACACGGAGTCCTCGCGTTCTCTCACGACATTTAAATTCATCTGCAAATCTCAAAAAACTCGAAGTAAGTGAGCGTAAAAACCTTTTGTTTGTGTACACTCCGTTACTTACTGTGAGCTGCCATTCTGTACATCCCATAATACCGCCAGCAGTAACCACGGTAACAGCTAGGCTCGTTCTGATTGGATCGGCTAAAAAAAGTGGGTTTGCATTATTTATACACCGACGCATTTAGTGGCTATCGAGTAGGCGGAGTCTGCCTGCCAATTCAATGGAGCGTATAGCCGATTCGTCCGCCGGGTGCAGAAAATGGAGCTGACCTAACGTCTATTCACTGATTTGCCTCAAAGAACAAGCAGAAACCTTAAACTGTTTGACCTACATTATTTCAGAAATGTCATGCAAACTGGATGATACAAAAGTTTTCAGTCTTATTATATGAGTGTTTAAAAATGTAAAATAGTTTCATGTCAGTAAACATAAGAACATTAGACTTCTTGTGGCTAACCAAGTGTTTCAGTCAAAACTTATCTGTAAGATCCCACATAACGTCACTTGAACATATAACTTGGAGCAGGGGATTCTCTAATGACCGACACTGTAGAAATCAAATATGCTCATGTTTACAGAAAGTATCTGTTAAAAGGACAGTAATGTTATTCCAAGGCATTTATCTTGAGAACATCATAGTCTACAGACAGTAATCAGACCATGCTGCTGTCCTTCCTCTCCACAATCAGAACAAGTGTATTTTTAAAACTTATCTTTAAAAAAAATCACAGTTCTGTTACTTTAAGTTCTGAATAGCCCAAATGAACCTCTATAAGTACACGTTTCAGATTAGTTCTTGCAGAAGAAGCTGAGATTTTATTTATCCTTCTTACCTTTGACTTCACCCGTAGCTTGTGAAACTGAATCGGTGCAAAGCTGAAGTGACTGCAAGTTCCCAAAATTAACTATGTACAGTATGCTGGCTATGCTGTGTGTATGTCTGCATATCTACATTAAGGCTATATATATGTATATGATCTGATTTCCTTTTCGGTGTACATGTTTGTGCATTAAGTTTCTTTCTTTAAAAAAAAGCATGTGGTGTGAATGAAGCAGTGCGCATGCATCATGGGGCACCACGTCTTGAATTACATGACATTAGCAGATTGTCTCCCTGCTGTTTCCTTCCATCTCCTCTGTGCTGGGCTGACAGCAGCAGGCACACGGAACATTTCAGTTTTTCATTCACAAAATGAATAAAACTTTATAACCCCCCCGGGGTTATGACTTGTGAAGAACTTGTTTCTTCGTGTCATCTTGTATATTTTGCTGGTGTGCTTCACATCTCAAGAACATGCCAAAATTTAAAGGTTATTGTGTTAAATCAAAGATAAAGACAAAGGTTCTGAACTTTATTAAATGGTTTTATTTAATTGAGTTTGCGCCAGTAATTTTCCATAAATGCAAATAAACTATTTTTATCTGTTTACCTTATTCGTGTTGGCCTGGAAACACAGAGACACCACAGTTATATTACAATACACCCTATTGTTTTATATCACTTAGAAGATGTAAAGTATAAATAATCATGACTTACATTTCTAATCCCATAATAAACTAAACTGGCATATTATTGTAGATAGATAGATAGATAGATAGATAGATAGATAGATAGATAGATAGATAGATAGATAGATAGATAGATAGATAGATAGATAGATAGATAGA